GGGGGGGGGGGGGGAGCGGCGCATGTGGAGGTAACAGGGGAGGGCGGGAGAGAGAGAGTTGAGGAGTGGTGCGGAGAGGGAGCAGCGCCTGCCGAGGAAACTGGGGAGGCGGGAGAGAGAGGGGTTGGGAAGTGGTGCAGACGCAAAGCGAAGCAGATACCTAGGGATAGTTTACCTCTTTGCGGACGCCAATGCGAAAAGAGGGAAGAGCCCTCGACAAATGATGGGGAGTTGGAACCCGCTGCAAAGGTCACCTCCACTTACACAGGTGTGAACGTAAATGTGGACTCACGACGAGCACGCGCCACAGCGTGAGAGCGATGCCATTGTTCTCTTAGGACAGAGGCAAGGAAGGACAGAGGTGTACCTCAACCCCTCGCCGACGCATCAAGGTGAGCGCAGATACAGATGCGGTAACGAAGAGCAATACCGACACAGAAAAGAAGAGAAAACAAAACAAAAATCAATATCATAATAATACTATGCATCCTGGACTCTTATCTGTGGATAGAGGTGATTCTTGGGGAGTGGATGTAAGAAAAGAAAAACGGAAAGCAAGCTCGCAGGCCACGGGGCACTATGTAGCACATCGGGATACAAGCAAGAAATATTCACAAACGGGGAGGAAGAGAGAGGGAGAGAGGGAGTACAGTGCACGTCTCCAAGCGCACAAAACACGCCAGGGAACGCAGCAGCAGCAGCAGCAGCAGCAGTAGGCGGAGAAACGACAAACACACGCTAACCCTTGTCTGCGGCACGAAACAAATTGTACATGGCATGGTGTGGTATGGTAAACTACGCACACCTGGAACGAGTCGGAGTAGTACTGCCCAAGCGCGAGGGCGAGGAGACTAAGGATGGCCATGGTCGGCTTCACCACCACGAATTGCAGGGTCGATTGCTTCGACAGGCGGAGGAGGGTGCCGTCCCGACGCACGCGAGCCAAGCAGCACAGTGGGAAAGGGTGCGGCACCTTTCAAACCAAAAACACAAAAATCACGATCAAGACACAGGCGGAAACCGAGACGGGAGCATGGTATTGTACGTTAAACAAGAACGAGAGAGGTGCACGAGGTTGGTCGATGGCACAGCGCTGACGAAGCCGTCAAGCGACGTTGTGGGGAGGGTGGGGGGCTGGTCTTTTCGACGTCGCGTTTCGGTATAGTAACGGGGGTGGGGGCAAAGCTTTGTTCCCTGAAAGCTTGAGAGTGCGCTTACGCGCCGCAAATGTATCGGCATTCTCGAAAGGTCCTCAGAAACGCAGGCAGCAGCTGTTTCTACGCGCAGATCGAATAACCGAGTGCTCGTGAGCGTGGACCCATGCGGCGAGGGCGAGCATCACATGCCACACTCAAATGACCCGTGAGGGACAACAGTGGCGACGGAGACCTCGTTCTCACCGGTGGTAGGTGCTTGATCTGCTCGATGCAGTTGTAGTCGCCCCCCGCGTGCTCGAGGATGAGGGTAAGAAAAGAGTACACGACGAAAGCTTCGTAGCAGTCGCGAACGATCAAGGCTACCACAACCACGTCACCTCTGAAGGCAAAGCAACAAGGGAGGGGAAGGAGCACATGCAAGGGCGATTGTTGAGACACGGACTCGGTCGCATGTGCCAAGCTTCTACAGCCGACTCGAATATATACATGCCTGAAGCGTCTGGGTGCTAAGCCCGGCCAGTTAGAGTGGTACGCCTTCTATTCGTTATCATTGTCTACAGCAGTAGGTATGTTTTGGGAACCATTGAAAAACAGCAGTATCGCGTCCTAACAACAAAATAACCTGTTGAGTGCTGAAACAACATAAAACGCTCGACTCTCTTGCTACGACGTTCACCACAGAAAATACGTACATAAAAGAGATTAAACTTCGCGCGCGTGTGTGTGCGGTACTCGCAAACGCCCGTGACACGTGCTCTGCACTTGAGTATATTAGTACTTGTATAACAGCATGTGTCAACGCATAGACGGATAGAAACAATCCCCACAACACAACAGAAAAAACTCACGTGGAGCCGATGATGGCGATGCACGAACAGATGGCGTACACCGGGACCACGATGAGAATGCGGAATATGTACTTCTGCGTCCGAGGGAAGTTGTAGTTGCGCGCGTGCAGCAGCATGTTTCGGCTGCCGAGCGCCAACGCCAGCACCTGCGTCCGCGGAAGGCACGTGTGTCCGTGCAATCACCGTCCGTGCAATCACCGTCCGTGCAATCAGCGCAATGAACGAAATAATCCAAGTTGTCTGACAAACCTCCAATGTTTTTTCCCAATCAGGGACCCAACCACAACACCTTACAAGCGTAGAAATAATGCTGTATGCATGCAACAAAGTTACACCACCAGGTACGGCCCGGTCTCGTCCGCAGTAGGTGCTAATCGCAACACAGAAGTTGGGCGTCCGGGAGTTGAGGATTTCGGTTCGGCGGCGACACCTGCGACCGCAGCCATGCATGTTTAGCTTGTACGTATCCTCGTCTGTAATTTTAACTCGACAACATCGGTTGCCCTTGTGGGAAATCTAAAAGCGCATTTCAAAGCAGTCGACTACTGCAGTTCACTATTAAAGGTGCTTCGAAGGAACACTATTGAGGCCAATCTCAGAGCCCTTACGGTTGGAGAAAAGGGTATTCTGCAGCAATTTACTAACGCAAGCAAGGTTGAGAAGCGAGGCCTGGTGCTGACACACATCCGTCACTTCGAAATAGCCGAGGCCTTTGGTGACCTACGCTGTAAGTGCTGACTGTCAACCGACGTATGAAAGGATTTGTAGTGGACTCAGCGGGGACGGAGCGGTGGAAAAGGCGGATATATTGACTACATGGTGTCCCTGTTCCGTATTCACGTAAGGCAGCTATGTAGCTGTGTGAGAGTGGAATCTCATCGTCCGGAAACACAAGAGACAGCCGAGGTATTGATCAACAGCTTACTTGCTGTGTCTTTCGTTGGTATCGTGTTGGTCTATGTAAGATACAAGTAGGGGGGGGAGGCAGCAGTTGCAAACGCATATTTTCATGTTGTCTGAGAGTAGGCCAAATGGGACGTCGCCTTGAATAACGCTTCGTAGTAAACGTGCGAGAGAAATGTTTCCGTTCGACTAGCCAGCGCATCGCTCAGAGCACCCTCAGGCGATTGATTGAAGTCATTCATCTACGACAGGATACAGCAGTAGGCAGTTTGTCCGCGCGGGCATGGGCTTGATGGGGCACGTGGTTGTGTCCTTCAGTCGCCCCTTTGGGGCGACCAACACATCAAGTTTACGCGAAACGTTGCAGATAGATGCACGACCACGTGCAGGGTGACTAACTACCACGTGCCCGCTGTCTGCCGGTTGGTTGGTTGGTGTGTGCGTGTTAGGCGATCCTTCGCTAAACGGCATGGAAAGAAGCGCAGCTAGGAGAGGGAGAAAGCGGGATTTCACCGGCGGAAAGAGGTCATTTACACCTACACCGAAACATTGATTCCGCGCGCCGGCTGTCGAGATAACCTACTGCTTATTACTACTGCTGTCTTCTCTCATCGCTAAACTCACTCACAGATGCGCACACGGCAAACACGAGTGCCAGCGGACTTTCCACCCACGCTGCGGCTCCGCCTGAACCCATCGCGCGTGCCCCTCGGTTGGAAAGACTTCAATATTAACCACCCCCGGCGCGCACTCTGCTACTAGCTTCGGGAATCCTGAAGCGATGTAGCCCTTCTTGCTGTCCGTCGTGGTACCACACTCAAGCGATCGTGCCCAGATTATGCTAGGGTTCCTGTCTTTGCTTCGTTGCGCGGAAATGAACGTGTGACTGGTGATGTGCGAGATGAGAAACACCGAGGGAGCTGAACACCGGCCCCAAAGCAAGGTGCCCAACCAACAAGACCCGCGCACTCCTTGGGAGGCCCGTATCTGCACTATACGGCACCCCCCGTGCTCTACTCTCGGCCGATTCACCCGCAACAGGCAAGCCAAGTCATTCATTCCCTCCGTGCTCAGGGAGCTACCAGTCAGGAGAAGGAGAGGGCTACAGAAGGTACTTCCCGGGGCAGGGATACCCACAAGTCTGTCGCGGAGGAAACTGCAGCATAGAAGGGGTGAAACGGAAACAGAGAGACAGAGACAAAGAGTGCAAGTTGGAAATCTTCCGTTGCGCATCCCCGCTGCTGCTGCTGGTTCCGCCGCACCGACGACTGGTGGGTGCGTTGGAGCGACAGCAGTGAGCAAGAAGGGGCGAGCGAGTGCGAGGGATGTGCTGAGCTGATTCGAGGAGCAGATGCCTGCAGCACCGTTTGCTGCTCCTCCGTGCGAGCCAGCCGGGAGCCTACGCAGCAGCAACGGGGTACACCAGCACCTGGTTGTACCAAAGCAGCGGTTTCCCCGATGGGTCACAGCGTCTCGGCGAAGAAGACGGCGCAGCCGCAGCCGTAGCCGCGACTCACCGACAGTAGAACGGCAGCGGCGGCTAACTCGCCGCGAAAGGGTTCTGGTGGGACTCCTGCTGGCCACAGCTCTATCCGTCGCTGTTTTGAACTCGTTTCGGTATCGACAGCCGAGGGATGTGCAAGGCCCGACCACATCCGTGATCGTCCGTAACGGCGATGAGGACGAAGAAGCTCAGCTGCGGAGAGAAGTTCTGGGCTTGGAGACAACCCTCTTGAGTAGGAAGGCCTTGCTGGGCATCGCACCAGGCTTGCCGCTGGAGAGTCGGCGCCCTGCTGATGGCGGCCGGGGTGATGTCTTGCACGGGAGTGGCGACAGGCTTGCGAATAGTAATGCGAAGCCGTTGGATCTAGGACACCATCAACAAGTGCAGCGCCCTGCTCCCTCACCACCAGATGGACAGCAGCAGCAGCAGGCGCAGCAGCAGCAGCGACACCAACCCCAACATTACCAACCACCTCCGATCCCGCAAGGCTCTGTCGCTGGAGAGGCCATGTTCGGTGGCTTAACATCCCCACTACGCCCGTGGTTGGAGTCGCAACCCGGCCTGATCCGAGAGCCCGTGCCGCTTATCGTCGGAGGCTCTGACGGCTCTGGCACGAGAGGGGTCGTGGCCTTGCTGCAGCAGCTCAAGGTCCCCATGGTGGTTGAGGACCGCGGCACCATGGACGTCCACGGGGCGCCGTACATGGATAAGGGTGGCTGGCCGGCCGTGGTGAGCCCTGTGATCGGGTGGGCGAAAGGGACGGGGTACGAGTCGCGAAGCGCGCCGGCCCAGCTGCGAAGAAAGACGTTCGACGCCCTGGGGGGTCTGAAGGCCCAGATGCAAAAGGTAAAGTGGCGTGTCGAGGTGTCCCACGGGTGTTACCACATTGCTTCTTGCGGTTTCCGCGCATGTTTTTCGGTTTTGCGTGAAGCGAGTTGCTCTGAGTTTGTGGCGTTGCTGAGTATGCGCGTGAGTCAACAAAGGTGGGCTTCGACTCAAGCGCAGCGGACATGAGGTTTTTGGCGCGTTCGTGAGAGAAGAACCACAGCGTGGCATCTGTTTTGCTGAAACCCTTGTTAGAACATCTGATACGGACACCGTAGGTGCTTGTGTTCAAGATTTCCCGCGGTGCCTTGCTGCGTCTGCTGCATGTTTGTCAAGCCTGTTTGAGGTTACTACATGAAGCAGTTGAACAGCCGAGCAGCCCCGCATAACATGATGGTGGTAAATTTCTTGCCTATTCTACATGGCTACCTTCGACGTGTTTTCCCCCAAAGCGTCCCACAGGAGTAATCTTTGCACCACACGCGTATCTCGGCTCCACTTGATGACCATATCGTCCCGGCCACGTCTAACCTCTACTTTTCGTCGTACCATTGGGTTGGCGCTTGCCTCCAATACCGCCTTGTAGTTCTGACGAAATATTCGGCGTATGCGAATCGTTTAGGTTCCTACTCGAGCTTAATCAACCTAAATAAGGCTACGTATGTGTGCCTTTGACGGCAGATGACCGGGAAGTCGCGATCGATCGGCGGGGAAGCCGCCAAGTACGTCAGCTGGGGGTTCAAGGCCCCGGTGTCGATGGTCCTCGTGCCGTTTTTCGAGGAAGCGTGGGGGAAGGCCAAGTTCCTGCACGTCGTCCGCGACGGGAGAGACATCGCCTTCTCGGGCAACCAGACCCCCGTCGAGAAGTTCTATGCGGACATGTTCCCGGAGGGCACCAGGGAATCGGGGTTCAAGGAGCCTTCCGTGAAGGCGATGGCCCTGTGGAATAGTTGGAACGTCGGCGTGCACCATTGGGCCGCGAGCCGGAAGGAGCGGGGGGCGACCGGACTGGACTACCTCCTGCTGCATGCAGAAGACCTCATCGACCCTGAAGCGAAGGTGCTGACTTGGTCTGTTTTACCTTGGAGTTGCACGTGCTGTACTTTGTCGGGTCGTTGACCATCCCTGGCGTTACGAAATTGAAATTGGGGGGGCATACGGACAGAGGGCGGGGTTGTGTCTGGGCCTGCTGTCGGGTTGAAGGTTTTGTTCTCTCCTTGACGATGGCCGTGTGCTGTTTGGTCGCCACCAACGAAGTGTCTCGTGGGATTATTACAAAACACGGTAAGCCGGCTCTCAGATGCATGCCGCAGAAATTTACGAACACGCCCTCACTTTTGTATTTTTGTTACGAAATGCTTCGTGCGACCTGCTTTATCGTATGTTCGGGCTTTTTTAGTTTGCGGCGATCAAAGACGTGGCGGAATTTGTTGGTTCTCCGCTTTCGGACTTCGATCTGTGCTGCATCGCTACCGAGGGGTCCAAGGACATGGGCTCGCACACCAAGTCGCAGAAGGATAGGGGAAAAATCACCAGCCGCTTCGGCAAATGGAAGGCAAGAATCGAGTAGTGTCACCGCGGTACTTCACCAGCGCAGTGTCACGCAGGACATTTGTGAGCGGCGGGGCCTTCGTTTCAGGAGTGGCGCGACAGCCCGAGCGTGTACTTATAAACATTTGTTCGACCTACGGTGTCAAGCCGTTGCCGGTGGTAGGTTGAAGATGGCCATATGTGACAAGTCGTACTGCGTTTTAGTAGGAGAGTATATCTATCTAGTATTTCGGCGATTGTACGTTAGACAACCCAAGAAAGTTACCCGTGTCTCTACTGAGAGGACACTTGTTTCACCTAAAAGTAGCCTAAAAAATCAAAAACCAAACTTTCGAGATTTTTCTTCGAACCGTATTTCGTCTCCTCTCCTGGGAAGACAAACCCTTCTGTCCCGCATTTCTTACGACGTCGTCGCCCATAACATGTACGCTGTTTCAACAGAACAAGGTCGAGGGAAAGCCAGAGCTGTCCAAACAGTTGCACGACGAGGGAGAAAGAGGCCTCCGAACCTTTGGGTACGAGCCAGAGCGCTCCCTGCGTGCGTCGAGCGGCTTTCAGTGTGCGGCAGAGCGGGATCCGACATGCCCGAAACCCGCCTCTTCTCCCCAGCCCTCGCGCTCATCTCGCCCGAAGAACCTGAGAGCTCAAGCCCAGGTTGGTTCCTTGTGCTGCATTAAACGAGAAGTTGTTTGCAGGTGTTGAAGCGGTCACGAGTGGAAAAGGGTGTATACTGCGGCTCAAGCCTCGACACGCATGGTTCAGAACCATTTTTCTCCCGCGTGACGCTGCGGCACTGATGTGTGGGGCTCCGCAGAGTGTATGTGGTGGGATATTTGAATCGGGAAACTAGTTTAACGTTGCCTTCATGTGCTCACTGGTGAAATTTTTCTGAACACGTGGTTGGGAACTCCTCCCACCCTCAACACGGGCGACTTCGCTACTGCTGTATCCCACCATGTCTGGCGCCGTTTGCATCGGCATAGGTTCCAGCGCCCAAGGCACCGGTTCCAGCAGCTGTGGAGGACACGGCGACCTGTGTGGGCCTGAAGTTGAACATGGACTTTAATGGCTTCGACTCGAAGGTATTGTCATGATCGTGTCTTTCGTTGATGTGCTACTTGCTCTGCGGAGGTTTCTAGCCTTCGGACACAAGCTGTCGCATGAATCTTCGTTGTAAATTTTCAGTAAATTTTGTTGCGGTCACGACTCCAACACGCGTCGGGCAAGCCTGACTGGTTTTGTAGTCTCAACGGCAGGGTATGGGGCGAGTTGTTCTCTGAGCTTTTCTGATTGTTGGCCATGTTGCTCAAGAATGGAGAGGGACGGCCGTGTAAGGAAGAGCCACTGTTTGGTGGGCACACCGTTGCGGTGAGATGGAGGGTAACCTCATCACCATCAGTTAGAACAAATTTTCGATCCCGAAGTTTGCACTTCCTTCTGTTCTCCAGTCCAATACGGTGGTGCCGTGCACGCTTTGATTGAACCAGCAAACTCGGTGGTGCGCTACCAATACCTGAAGCAGCAGTATGTACTGATTACGCGCCTGTTGATCAAAAACAGGCCGTACACGCCCAGGATCACCTGGGTTGCTGCCAGGAATGCCACCAAGCAGACGGCTGCTCGCACTTCACGTTCGACTACAGTTCGCGCCTCTGCTACCTTAAGGTCGGGCAAGGTGTACAAAATTTCAAGGTCGGGCTAGTGTCGGGCATGACACCGGTTCCATGAAGAGGGCTCCCGGCTGCCTAATGCTGTACGTGTTCCACGCGCGGGTAGGTTTGGAACAAACCTCTTTGCCGTTGTGAGCACAGCAGCGTACTGCTGCTGGTTCTGTGTAGGGGTTTGAGGCGCCACCTCTTCTTCTGGATGGGGTCGTTGTTGTGTAGTGGCGTGCGGCTTGAGACCGAGTTAGATGCCCGGAGGACCATGCTTCGTTGTGACGGTAATAGAGAAAACTTTATAGGCTATGGGGGTGGCCTTCTACCCTCTATTTCTTGCTGCAGGGATATCCCTTGCACTCAGTTTATGGAAGTAGACGCGGGCGGCCTTGAGTTGTCCGGAGCGAGACCTTCTGCCACCAAGCGAGTGGCATGTCATGGCATGCTTTTCTGTGATCGTATTATTGTCCGTGTCCGTCGGTAGCCTTCTAGAAACTCTAGTTGCGGTTTGGCTTCGCTGCATTTCCTCTGGAAACGTAGACTTCTGACTCATCACTTTTAGGGATTCACGTACGAGTGAGTAAGAGTTAACCCAACGGAGGATTCATCTCGTTTGTAGGTAGATGGTTGAATTTCACATTCTTGTTATTCCTTTGTTCGATGTTCGATGGTTCGATTCACTCCTTTTGATTTCTCTGTTGGGTACTGTATCGTGACAGCAAGTGCAGTTACATACAGTAGAGTAGAGTTGCATCGGCCGTCAGCCCACCAGTGTGAATATCGAGGAATAGATTGCACGATTTTGACGTTTGTGTATGTGTCATGTCAATTGCTGTTGCATGCTGAAGATGTCAGTACACGGTCGCTTTGGTGGCGCTAGCGCACATCGATGCGGTGTTATTCATAGTTCTTTAGTTGGACGGACACCATGCGGTGCAATATTTGGTCAGTAGTGTTGGTTTGTGTGTAACACATGGAAGAGTTCCGCCGTTTCCTGGGGATGGTTAACACGCATAGGGAATATGAAGTTGAGGGTCTGATACTCTGCAAGCGGATTCATTTGCTGGGCAACGCATATCCCTGGGTCGGTCCCCTCTGAGTGGTCGATCTTACTATGCAAGCGTTGACAAGTTCACGGCTGACGTCGTCCTATGTCGTTATCAGTCGTCCGGACAAAAAGCACCCTGTTTGATTCTGTCAGAGAGCGAAAAACGTGTTGTAACAGCTTGGGCATTGTCTTCGGTCCTTCTCTCCCTAAGAGAGAGCAAAGACCGCCCACTTTTCCGTAGCGCTTTCAAGGTTCGTGATAACGATGCCGTATAGTCTGCTGCCGGCGTAGACTATTAATGCCCTGCCCGGCACGAGGAATTTCTTACATCGGGAGAGGTCAACTACCTACGTACGTACAGTCTGCGCCAGCGTGTCTGATTCCAAGGCGAGAAACGAACACATGTCTCATTCTCCTCTCCGCATTGTATAGCGACGCATACGCGGTCCTTTCGTCGACGGCCTTGTCGTTGTACACGAGGTTTTTTCATGTTTCACCTCCGGTTTCATCTCAAATGGGTGCAAGTCCTTTGCGATTGAGTTGTGAAAATTCGAAACGTATTTGGTAGTCTCCGCTCCCGTAGACTGCTGTGCAAGCAAAGGGACATTGATTTTGTCGCGCGCCAAGATCTCGGCTTCATGCGGGAAAAAGCCCCGCTGTGACAACACAGAGGTGTAGTTACCAGTCACACCCTTCCTCGTCCTCCACAGCAGTCTCGTGACGGTAGCATAATAACACCGCGATCAACGCACGCGAAACTTGTAGGTGTGACATTATCAATGGGTGAGTTCCGACGGGTGTCAGGGGTGAAAGCCTTACGCCCCCAGTGCCAATGGTTATACAAATCTCGAGCTACGATCGACGAGAGAGATCGAGAGAAAGAAGCAGCCTACAGCGGTACTATGGATATGTATGTACTATGGTATGTGTTCGCAGCCTAATGAAAGGTACAGCAGTAGACTACTGCTGTATCGTGTTGAATGTCCGCATACGATACCATACGATACCATACGACAAGGCATGGGACCCGCAAGCGATGGAGTCATTGCTTTGTCCAAGAGATACAAATAGAATTGAGGCTTTTTGAAGCAGGCACAGTTAAGGAAGCGGGCGTGATCCCATCACACGAACAACAACAGCAGTAGCAGTGAAAAAGAACAACCAACCAAAGCCATGATTGCAATGGACAATCACCCGAACCTCTCCCGATCGTCTGTGTTAGGCACGCAGTGAAAATATCGACAATAGGTAAGAATCGTTCCACATTGAAGGGGTCTTCCACGATCAGGCACATAACCAAGGCACCCGGGTTAGCCACGCCATCTCTGACGGGTCTCTCTACAAAACCAGTGACGACGTCATCACATCACATAGAACCAACACCGAAAATCAGGAAAAAAACGAGAAAAATTGACAACACAGATCAGACATAAATGTTTGTCTGTGCGCCACGGGTCGATGTCGCCCGCATGCTCCGGTGCCGCTGCTCCGTCCGGCGCCGCTGTAGTCAGCCCGAGCATAACGCCACTCGACCTGCTCCGTCCGTACACGCTCTCGTTGCTGTCCTTCCCAGTCGGTTCCTCGCTTTCTCCCTCGTTGCACTCAAGGTTCTTGGTCTGAAAAATAAAAATTCTCGCGCCGAAGGGGTCAACCAGCCCAGTTCAGCTCGTCGCCACCTGCTCCCTCCTCCTTTGATGGCGAAGCCAGGTTACTGAGGCAATGCAGCGCCCTCTAGCCAACCTAGGGCCGTGTACATAGTTCCCGTCCACCTTCTGACGGTGTCTGCCTCCGCGCACAAAAAATGAGATGGGCATCGCTGCCTACGCCGACGGCCAGAGGCCCGCGCATCTACATTTTTTCGCCTGACCCCATCAGTGCCGACCCAACTACACCACCACGCGCATGCCTCGCGGCGGATATGCGCAGCAGCAAGAAGGTTTCGGTCATCCCTTGAGGGTGAGTCTAGCCCTGCTCGCCAGAAAGACCCCCCCCTTCACTACAACCCATGTCTAAGCAAAAGCTTGTCGAGGAGCGAGGGGAAGAAGGGACGGTATGCTGAAACTGAAACGCCAACTCCGGGTCACGAACGGACACTTTGGTGCCTACTCTCCCTCATTCATGTACAAAATATGAATCAGGGAGGGGGGGGGGGGGAGTAGGCATCCCCGATCCCCTCCCACAGCTTTGTCTTGAAGCTGATCCTCGTTCAGTCTCGTCCCAAACCAATCCCGCGCTAAGACTATCGTTTGAGTTAGCCACTACATCGGTCCTAGCCGGAAGCTCTTGTACCCATCACAACAGACAGGATGAAGG